TTTTTTTGTACTATCGTTCTGTGAAGTTTGATTTATCATTATTTTTTGTTAAAGTATCAATAAAAATATTTATTGAAAAGTATTTTGAATTTGAAGAATATAAATATACGTTTTTAATTTATTAATCTTTTTGAAAAAAATAAGAATTAGAATTTTCATAAACTCCTTTATTTTCGTTAAAAATGGAATAACTTCGAAGCGATGTATCTCTATAAATCAAATTTGTAAACTTTGGATAAGTTGGATTAGTCTCGAGAAACACTGAAAATTGTAACGTGTGCTAAACAATATTTGCATATCGAACCAATTATGACTTATATATTCTTTTATCTGTTTATCGCATAACAATTACCAATATCTCTTTAGAAAAAAAGAATGAAATATTTATCTGCTATTTCACTTTATCTATTTATTATTTTGAATAGAATACTCTCAATAAACCTATATTTCAATATGTCAAAATTAAATTAAATATTACATGTTAAAACTTGTATTTTTTTTACGTAAAACATGCAAAATATATGAAAAATATTACATAAATTCAATTAGGAATATCTACAGTATATTTATTTACAAAATAGGATATATTTATCTAATTGACTTAATCCGTGATATTCATTTTTCATTTCACATTTCTTTTGATAAATGAAAATATCGAACTTAATCTTTCGAAGACGATTCATAAATATAAGTCAGTCATTTATTCAAACAAATAATAGATAAAGAAAATTTAAAAAAAAAAAGAATAGGTACACGATTACAGTTTCAAGGACTATTCGGCTTGTTTCAATTTGCCATTCGAGTTTTATTTGCTGATAACGTTTGATCTACTTACTTTCAATAAAGTTTTGATTGTAATTCTTCCTGCACAATTTATATGAAATAATTAATTTATTGTTATAGCAAATATTATCAATAAAGGTATGGAACATCTTTACAAAATTGTATGTTAAAATAAAGTGAATAAGATCTATTGTAAGCATCGATAAATTTGACGTCCAAAATTAATACAGATACAATAAAAATTAATTTTTTCCTTGAGAAAAAAATATAAAAAACCGAGAATGTTGATGTAAGATGAGTTTCATTATTAATAACGCATTAAAAGATATTAAAATTGAGGGAAAAATCGTTGATTGAAGAATGTTTCAGACAAGAGAAATATAATTTGTAATATTCATTAACAATCTCAAATTTCGAATAAAAAATATGGATCAAGGCTCGGAAAGAAATACGAATTTACTCATTTTTCATTATGTAAATACATCAATATCTGTATGGTAATTTTATTAAATTAAATCCTGATGATATTTTAAGATCACTTTCATTTTCAATATTATAAATTATTTTTGAACATAATATCTATGCAAATTCTCTTCAAAAATTAAAATCTTTGATCATTTCGTCGCGTTTTAATTTTAATCGATTTTACTTTTTTAATTACATAAACTAGACTCTCAGAGATGAACAAAACCCAAATTCTACTTATTTATAACGCCACTTTATTTAAAGAAGCGTACCTTTTATTCTATCTGACGATTTCTATTTTAATCGCAAAACAAATATCGCAAAAGAAAATCCAGAAAATATTTATAACAAAGATTTAACACGCGCACCAACGTACCTCAATCGCTTCGAAAACAAAACTTGAATACCAAACGATAAACCATTCAAGGAAACTAGCATCGTTTCTCTCCCCATCTCCTCCAGATCCTCTAGATTCGATCACAAGGTGGTACAAGACGGAAAAGAAGCGACAAGGACAACCCTTTGTCGAAATGTTTCACGTATCGGCCGCCGCCGCCGCCGCCGCCGTCGGAAGTGGTGGCTCGCGTTTTCTGTATCACGCTATATGCAAATGAGACATATGCTCTCGCCGCGCCACATAATAAATTACTCGTGTGGAGATACATCGTTGTATAGGTAGGGCCTAAAATTACTGCACTGGTCCCGCCAGGGACACACACGGACGGGAATGGCCGAGGCCAGTCGACCCCGGACGAAACGTGTGCGCGGTTCCACGGCTTATACAGGATAATACGCGCCTCTTACGCGCCCCTCGAACAAGTAATGCCAAACTGTCCTTTCGTCGGGGAACGACGAAGCGACGTTCCTCTTCGTGCTTCTCTTCTTCTTCTTCTTCTTCTTCCTCCTCCTCCTCCTCTTCTTTTTTTCTCCTCCTTTTCTTCCTCTCTTAAAAACGCTCTCTCGAGCTGTTGTATATCTCTGTTGTACACCACCGACAACGGTGTACGTCGTGAAATTTTTTCTTTCTACGCTACTGTACACGGATCAAGGGAGTAATTGGACGAGGAGGGGGGAAGAGGGACGGAAGCGCGGTATGAAAATGATGAACGACGTTTTGATGCCTGAACAATCCTGCTGTCTAAGGACGCGGCACCGTTTTTCCTTGTTATTATCGTTGCCACCGGCGTGACAAAGATTATTGAAATCTTCCAAGGACAGCTTGCTTCTTCTCCTTCTTCTTATTCTTCCCCTTCTCTTTCTTATTCTTCTCCGTCGGAGCTTATCATCGAAATACGCGTGTCCTTGCGGAATATGAAAACAAAAATACGCGTGTATCGTGTTACGTCGACGACTGACACAGCGTAACGTTTCAAGGGTACGGAGAGAGAGAGAGAAAGAGGATACAATACCTCGGCATCTGTTCGTGAGAGCAATAAGAGTGAACGTCTGAAAATGTTCCGAAATCCGCTTTGGGGTCACCCTCGAGGAAGGAGGGAACTCGCGTTGTTTACGTGGCCGGGGTTTAAAGGGAAGAGAGAAGAAAAGAAAAGAAGGAAAAAAAAGGAATCGTTTCCTTTTCCCGAGCAAACACGAAGGCAAACGCGCAGCATGAGCCACGGTGTTGTAAAACAATTTGCCGAGGCTATGGTAAACAATGGATGGACGATCACGAGGATGGACGTCGAAGGTTCGAGGAGACGAGGCTCCTGCAATTCTTCTTTCCATAAACCCTTAATTTTACGATGATTAGTACAGCCTTCTGTCTCTTTTCCGCCACGTTTAATCCCGCCAAGATTCGATCCTCGAGATCTGTTCTTCTCGTCCGGGTTACGAAAAACTGGGGTTTTACAATCCTCTCTTCCTCGATTCGAGACAAGACTTTCGGGGAAAGGGCCAAAGTTTGGGTTTGCTAGCTTTTACCGCGCCAGGTAATTGGATTAAAGGAACGATTTGGGGTAAGATTACAGGCTGGCCGGGGCTGCCTCTCTCGGTTTGCGTTGTCGATTTCCAAGGATATCATCCAAGGTAAATCCAATTTTTTTTTTCAGAGTTAGTCCGTCACCAGGGGCGGAAATTTTTCTTACGGGCTAGGAAGTGTTTATTGCATTCCTCCGAGGAAATTATAATTCCATTAGGGATCCCGAGGGATCCCAAACGACACGTTTCGATTATCAAGCGAGGATAGAAGAACTTTTACAATCGACCATTTTCTCTTTCCATTTTATTCCTTGAAAAGATAAAAAAGCGTCGAGGAATTATTTAAATTCGCTTGATAATTAATATATCGTCGATTGTGTGGCGAGAAAAAAAGAGAAAAAAAAAAAAAAGAAAAATCATTCGATTTCTAAAAAAAATTAATTGCCATTAACTTTTCGACATTACAGAATACAATTAAATTTCCAGAAAGTGGGCATTTATCCGCGTTTGCGCGGGGTCAACGACTTGAAAATTACTCGTCGTTCAATTTGTTTATCGAGAAATACGTAATGAAGAACGATCGATACGTTTAATCGACGCGTCCCTCGTGCGCTATCAATCGTGGAAACAGATCTGATCGCGATCTGTACCACCACAAGATTAATACTTGTTCCTTTCGTTACGAGAAACGAGACGTGGAATAAACCGGACCCGATGAATATCGAATGCCGTCTCAGAAACGAGCTGTCGTGCGGGGAACAAAGCCACGATGAAAAATGTCATCGTCGTTCAATTACGATGCATCTTGGAACAGGCGGTAACAGCAGCTTCTAATATTATTAGCGTTCGTAGAAACGTGCTTCTGGAAAGTAGCACTTGTACGAGCTACGGCGAGCCTTGTGCACGCGTCCCCTGTTTCTAAATACTGTAACCGAGCCTATTTAACGAAGCGGCGCCTCGATGGCTTACCAACATAAACTATTCGCTCGCTAATTGCTGAAACATCAAATAAAAAAAAACACGACCAACTGTCTTACTCGTTAACGACTCGTTTCGGTGAATGCATAATTTCGTTCGCGCGAAAATTAGCCGTTACCGCACACGTGTCTCATTGGAAATATAAATTGTCAACTTGTTCAAAAAAAATAAATAAATAAATAAATCGTTCTGGAACCGTGTAATTTCGTGTAAAAAATAAACAACTCATCTGATCTGATTATTATTATTATTATTATTATTATTATTATTATTATTATTATTATTATTATTATTACTCGATGAATTCGAAACCTTTCAAGGTTAATTCAATTCAATAGGAAACAATGATTCAAAGATGCACGAAGAAAGGACAAATTCGAGAGCATCGATCAAAATTAAGGTCCCCATTCATCGATGGCGGGGGATAGTGGAGGGGAAAGCAAACTTCCATCGTTAATTAAAGAGACCGTCCCATTATTCGATTCTGTATTAACGGTCGTTTCTCTCCCAGTCGGGCAGTCAGAATTTGCATGCGTGAATGAAACGCCTTGCCAGGCATTGTTTCATCGGTTACACCGACGATATCGCGACTATGTGTACATACCGCGGCTGAAATACGACACACGTAATCACTTGCCCCATCATGCCTCCGTAATAATTCCTATTTTCAACGCGTGCACGATACGTTCGACTCGATTCTCTTCCCGAACGAATGCGCAACCTAACGTTTCGCGTGCCTAACGTTAATCCTCCTTCGATGATACCGACCTCCTCCCACGCTACGAAAAAACACGCTAGATTGAAGAAGAAAAGGAAGAGAGAGAGAGAGAGAGAAAAGAAAAAAAAAGAACGCTCACCTTGACTGTGCTCACCGGCGTCGAAAGTTTTGCTGGTCATCTGGAACAACGCGTCCAAAGGACTCCCCTGCCCTGTGGTCCTCTTCCCATGATGCCCGCTCTGAGAGCCGTGCTGCTGCGACGTTTTCCTCTTGAACTGTTGCTGCTGTTGCTGCTGTTGCAACGCCGGATGATGCAAGCCCGGATGCATACCATGATGCATACCGTGATGATGATGGCCCAACGGATCCGGGCTTCCGGAATCGGAGACGGAACTCCTGCCGGACGAGGACGAGCTGCTGAGAGGTGGCTCGCTGATCGAGCCGGCCGACATAGACGCGAGAGACATGCCCATCAGGGACAGATCCCTGGGCGGCGTGGAATGATTGTGATGGTGGTGGTGAAGGTGGTGCTGGTGGTGCTGTTGCTGCTGCTGTTGCTGCAGGTGATGGCGGTGATGGTGATGGTGGTTGAGATGGTGGTGATTCGACTCGACCGTGTCCCAAGGGCGCACGATCTTCGCCTTGGGTCTGTGCGACAAGATGTCCAGTATGCTGAAAGACTTGACCCCGCGCTCGTTCGTGTCCCTGTCCCTCTCGTCCTCCTCGTCCGAGTGCTGCATCTGCACCATCTTCAAACGTTTCAGAGGCTTGAAGTAATCGTCCGCGGCACCCGCCCCCGAAGCACCGTTACTGCTAGTCCTACTGTTCACTTCCTCGTCGTCCTCCTCCTCCTCTTCCTCGTCCCTCAACGTGGTCACGGAATCACCGCCGCTACCCTCGTGGACTCGAAGCCCTCTCCCGTTCGACATCCTGTAATCGCCACCGCGCGAGTAACTGTCCTCGTCGTCGGCGATCACCGACTCCCTGGGGTAACTCCTTCGCGGGCTCAGTCTGTCCACGTATTCCTCCCTCGATTGGGACAACCGTTCCTCCTCGTCCGCGGTGGGCGCGACCACGACGAGGGGTAAGGGGCTAGGGCAACCCACGGAGATCTCGTCCTCGTCGTCCTGGACGTCGCCCCGGCCCGGGGACCCTCTGCAAGGCGTCCGTCGGTGGATCGGCGATCCCAAGCAGCCAGGCGTCGTGGCGCTCGAGGACACCGTCGTCGACGGTGACATCGTGTACGATTCCGTCATTTCCGTGGTGCACATTCCTTCCGATCGATCTCACCTCTTCGCGACGGCGTTGATGCTTTCGAAACTTCGGCTCGACCGATCGAGATTTAAACCGGTCGAGAGTCGACAACAAAGTGTTGCATCCGAAACACTCACGAGTTTCGTCAATATCCGTGATTCGCACTGAAATTTGGTCGAACACTTAGCCGCATTTTCTCACCGCGGATTCGATCCTTTCGAGTCGAACGACAAGTATCATTCTTATTAACGCGGAACTGTACACTGACGGACTACTCTTCGACCAAGTTTCCTCTTCTTTTCAACAATGCACCGTCATCGTAATTCCCGCCGATCGTCCCCAGTCATCGTTTCAAACAGTTCCTCTTACATCACGAAAACCTCCTACGACTCGCACTCTGGACGTATTCTCCGTCGTTGCGCGCCTGTCATCGTGGCGCGATTCCACGTCGAAAACGATCTCCTCTTCCCCGATGATCTTAGCCTATCTATCGTCGCACGATACGGTTTACGCGAGTGAGAAAAATCCACAATTCGTCCGAACTCAAGAAGCACAAAATTCGAGTCCACAACGGTCAACGATCATCGCACCTTTCTCCTTCGATCGACAGTCAACTCCCCGAAAAATAAACGTGACGCGATCGTTACCCTGTCGAGAAGTGAAGCTCACACGCGCGAAACTCGTCTCGACACTATCGTCACGAAGCACACATGAACGCTCGAACCAGTCCGTTGATCCCACGGGCGTACGACGCGGGCATATCGAGCGTGTCTGGTTGGAACGAAACGTCAATACGGATGGATGGATAAACGAGCTTACAGGATTCGGTGGCTTGCTATCAGGCCAGGCCAAGCCAGTGACTCGAAATGGTACGGGGACGGGTATCTCGGGCCGGTGTTCCTGCAGGGGCAGGCACTTCACTCTCGACCGCCTCGAACGCGATCGCGGAGGAGGGAACGGGAATCGTTCGAATCCCCTACTACGCCTGGCCCGTCCGTGCACCACCTCTGCCGATGGGACGTGCCCAAGTCGGTCGGCCATGGGCGGCCTCAGCCTAAGCCCCGCCTACCGAAACCCCCTCCCCCTCCCGCCTCGGCCAGGCTTAACCGTGGCCCCTTAGACACGGCAAAATGACGCTGCCTCGATGGAATTTTTACGAGACGTACTTAACGTCCCTGTGCCGCTGCCCGACCGGCCTTTAACGCACTCGGCCCTTTCGTCGTCGTCGCCGCCGTCGTCCTCATCGTCGTCGTCGTAGTCCTCGTCGTCGTCGTCCTCGTCGTCCTTTTCCCTCTTTTACTCTCTTCCTCCCCCTCGTTCCATCCTCCGCCTCGGTCCCTCCTCGTCCCCTACCTTCGGCTGCGCACCACCTTCTGTCCGTCCTTCTTGCAATCCCTTCTTTCCTCGCCTCCTTCTTTCTCTCGTCTCGAGGAACGTGGGATTGACCCTCCACGACGAAAAGCTCGCCTAACGAGGGCCCACCGTGATTTCGTCCCACCCGGATTGACGATTTCTAAGTGCCGCTCGACTCGAAAAACTGGAATTTAGAGGGGGAGCTTCGATCCTTTTCTTTCCATCCAGTTTCTTTTTTAATTTCGTGCATCGTCGCGCGTATTTATTTAAAAATCCTATCTGCTTAACGTTTAATTTAACCGTTAGTTGTTTCGCGCGAAAACGATATTTAACGATTCATTACATTACACGGGCTATATTGATCTCGTTATTCCTTTATATTATCCAATTTATTGACACGTACATTGCAATCATCTCTTAAATATATTTTATTTTATTTTCTAAGCTAAAAGAATTCCATTCCCTATTTTTCACGTTCCATCCGCGTTATTATTATAAGTTTTTACATACACAAACGCTTGTCACAAGCCGAGCAGCACACTTTCGTATCGATAGCGTTCCCGTGTATGAGAACGCGGGACAAGAAATAACGGAGGAGAGAAGAAATTCGTTTCTATCAAAGCCGATCGATCCTCGTGTTTCCTTTTTTTCTATACGATCGCGTATCGACCGTTCGATCGGCCGGGACAAGCGGAAGCCATCCGCAGAGGTCGATGGCGAACATGTTTCCGGAATCGTTGGGAACAATCGTCGTGTAGGGTCGAAACAAGGAGGGGAAATATCGCGGTTCCCGAGCACCGCTCGTCCGGAACGGGCCTAGAAAGGTATCTCGCGACCATTACATACAGACTATTATCCGCGATCCGAGTGCCGAGAATCGATTCACTCGCCATGTAATTGTAGCAATCTGGTCGACAACTAGCGGCCGTCACGACACGAAAATATCCATCAAGCTTCTTGCAAGAGAAGATCGAATTTCGCCCTCTTCAAACCGCTTCACAGTTCGCTAGAGAGGCATATTTCTTTTTTTTTTTTTTTTTTTNNNNTTTTTTTTTTTTTTTTTTTTTTGTTTCTCTGATTACTATCTTAGACGTAGTTGCGCGATATCGAAGCGAGTTTCGCGGAAAAGCGAAAAATTAATCTTCATTTCGAAGCAGTGTTTTCAAGTGTTACGTTATATTCCTGATATTATTAACAGTTGTATGTTGCATGTTGTACGTTAAGAGTTGTACGTACACACACCCGTGTTTTATTACGTAGTAGTGTATTGAATAATTTTTACGTATTGCGGCACGTCTAAAAATCTAAAAAAATCTGAAATAATTTTCCATTACGTGATATATAATGCGTTATTAGATGTGTATTTTGGTTTTTCCTGGGTGATTAAGTATATTTATATTATGCATCGTGTATAACTTACGATAACAACAAATCTAATACAAAAACATCACCTATTTACGTATTCCATATTTCGCAATTAAACACGTTTAAAATAAAATTTAAGCGTTATGTCGATCCATTCTCTGTAAATTTTCCAAAAACACAATCTTCATTAAAATTACCTAATCCATAGAATCATATTCTTTCTTTCAAAAAAATAAAATTCTAAATTTCAAAATTGCATCGAAATCAAGAAAGAAAGTCACATATGGCGCGAAATCGAAACTCTTTCAGATTCTTTCTATTGGCTTCGAAGAGAAGGCGAAGAAAAGACGGCCGTGCGAGTTGGAGGCAGCGAAGGCAAACCGAGGCAGCGGGTTCCGTCCGGCCCTTTTTCTTCTCGTCTCTCTGGCCTTCCCGTCGGCTTTTCTATCCCGATACAAAGAGGCGCGAGCGAGCCTAATTATTATGATAGCTCGCCACTGGATTCTGTCGGCCCCTTTGATCTACCGCCGTTTAGCATGATCCCCCGATATTTAGGTAGGGCCCATTGTGTCCTGCCCGTGGAAGGGGATCCCCGTGCAGCGGATCGTTATGGTGGGGTGGCTGGAGGACCACGAACCTACGAATGGAGAGAGAGAGAGAGAGAGAGAGGCGCGATAAACTATTCATCAATGAGCGGCTTTTTTTCACCGAAATTTACACTTTCCTCCAACTTCCTTCCCTCTCTCAATCGTTCTTCCGTGGACCACACGCGTAAACGAACTCGATCCTATCTTAGCTGTATCCTCTATGAAAGTAATGTTGTAAGATGTTTTCTTTTTTTTTATCAAATTCTACGTTTCATTTTCACAATATCAAATCATATAAATATTTGCCAGGTGATATAAATAATATGATATATTTGGATCTAATTAATTGAATAATAGTAAACGATGTAATGAATACTTTTTTGTAATGATCAATTACAAATTAGCTGAATTGTTTTTTTCTTAATTTAAGATTATTTCAATAGATGATAAAGTATTTTAGGACAACTAAAGGACAATTAAAGGACAACATGTTATTCGAATTGAACTTTTGACATTTGGAAGAAGATTAGTGGGAAAATGTTGTATCGAGAAACATCAAGTTATATACATTGATGTTACTTGGAGATAATTGTCAAATCTAACCTATTCTTCAAATATTGATATTTTGGATTTATTTATTTTATTTACATCGATGTTTTCCAGAAGAAATTTTTAAAATTGAAAAATATGGTTATATTAATCGGAAAAACAGAATTATTTTATGATTCAATTTTGTCTATATTATTAATTTAACTAATTTCAACGTATATTTATTCACAAGGATCACAAGAGCACCTTCAATCCTCAAATCTTTATATAAATATATCCAAATATTCATTAATTTATTAATGTTAACAGAATTATTATTCTTGCTAATAATTGTCCCAATAATATTTTCCAATAATTCCAAATCGTTTTCAAATCGACAATATGAAAGCAAAACTATGAACAAACATGATAACTATTGCTGTAAATACTTAGCTAATTACAATCAAATGATTCGTTTAAATGAATAAATCAGAAATCACTTTTCTATAAATAAATTCACGACAATCAATCTTTCTTCTATCAAATTTCCAATAAACAACACTTACTTATTCATCTATCTATTTGATCGTATCCCACAAGACAAATGAACAATTAACAATTACGTAAATATGTTAATAATTCTGTAAGAAATAAGAGGGCAACGGAGTGAATACTTTGCAACATGTGGAGGAAGGGATTGGGCAAAGAGACTTGAAAGAAGGTTCGACGAGTACAAGCTCTGATGAACGGTTATTCATGAGTTAACGCTGGCCGGCAATTGCGTTAGATACGCGTCCAAGTCCATCCGTGTTCGAATTGGTTGGTATTGGTTGGATAAATAAGCAGTCGTGGGAACACCTTTTCGTAATGTATTAGAGTGTTTTGCGTTTCTAGCAGAGCCGATGGTTAGCACTCTTTCGCTATGGATCGTGTGACATTATCTGGAGTGTGGCTCTAACTCTCTTGAACACCCAGCTCAACCTATCTACAACCGTATATATCAAGAATGTATCTTCCTTTCTTTAATTACAACGTATTTCCTTTTCCATCGTACAAAATATTTAATTAACACCTTGATTAAACGATTCGATTATCCGTTCACTGCGGTTACATCTTCATTTCCTTGGAACAGTTACACACGATTGTTCAACGTTTTCTTTCTCTTCTTCTTCTTCTTCTTCTTCTTTTTTTTTTTTTTTTTTCTTCTATCATTCAATCGAAATCTGTATCTGATTAACGCCTCGTGCGATTTAATAAGTCGTTAAGCACGCGAAACAAGGTTCGCAACTACCGATAAAATTACCATCACAAGCACGAACGAAAATCGAGCGTGGTGCATCGTAGTGGTAGCGCACGCATCGGGCAAGGGGAAGGGGGGAAAAATGACTTCGCATCGGGTCTACGTTTAACGAAATACCGCACACAGTGCTCCGCCAGTCGTACGAGTA